GTCTCATCCTTCATGAATAAATACAAGATATTGTTTCACCAATATAAATATATAAACCTCATTAGGGTTGTAAGAACATGATGGTTTAAGAAAAAAGTCTAACTAGGGTTGCAGGAACATATGTGGAGTATAGTGAGCAAATTTAATTTTAATTTTAAATATTTTTTATCCTTAATGACAATTATGTAAAGGGTAAAATACATTATTCATATTTAAAAGGGAGTTTTACTAAAACACCCAAAATGGGGGTTGAAATTATAAAAAAACCCAAGTACTATTTAAACATATAAATACACCCAAAACCTATCATTACACGCACTCAAAACTCATTTATAAACACATCCAAAAAGTTGACTTTTGAGTTGATTTTGGGTGTGTTTCTATGTTTAAATAGTGCTTGGGTTTTTTTATAAATACATGTCTAGGATTGGGTTTATTTATAAATTTGTATATTTAAAATTAGTATAAAGTGCAAAGAGCAAATAATAGGATGCCAATAAAATCACCCTCAAACTTATGATATCTTTCATTAGTAAGTAGAAATGTCATTAAACCAAAAACTAGTATCACATAATGTACTCCATAATCCTTTGGTTCCAGGATTTGTTGGTTGAAAAAATTAGTAGACATCAAATTCACCCGAAAATTTAATCAGTACACCCGGGCTCAAAAAAAGAAAGAACAAGAAGAACAAGAAGAATTCTCATTTCCTAAAAACCAAGCACAACTACCGCATAAAACACTCTAACCCCTGCTCTGAACTCTGAAGCCAAGGAGACGGATGGGGCAGACGCCATAGGAGTGCATGGAAGTCCATTAGTCTTCAGAACACTGCATTATGGAAGATTGGATTCTGAATCCCAATTGTCAATTCAAGGTATGTATCCTATTAAACCTTGCAGACTTGGCTAAGGCTTGAAGCACCTATAATTTTGTCTATTGGGCTGGTTAGAAAATCCCCAAATTTTCAGTTACCATGTAAACCACTGCCCGAATTTATATATTGGTTGATGCCATTAATATATTAATATTAGTGCTTGCCTCCACAACTAGCTCTATCTGGGAAAATAACATTAAAGAACTCTGTTTTCTTTTTGGTTGAAACATTATATAAGAAATGGTTGGCCTCACAATCACAATCAGAATCCTACACACACAGAGAGACATTGGTATGGAGGGGATTGCAAGTTAAAGATCAAATCTTGAAGACTAGAATGGCACCAATGGAGTAATACTTACTTTGGGTTTCAATTTCTTCTGTTATTCTCTGCAAGCTTGTGACATTTTCTTCTGGGCCCAAGTTTTAAGTTCATTGAGTGCTGAAGGTAGCAACTATTCGGGTGGTAACAGAATGTTTATCAGAAACCCATCTCAAATATCCCTCAGCAAATGGGACACCGTCCTTCCCAGCATCGTCGTGTGCGTTGAACTCGACATGGTAGGTAATTTTCTGGTTAACCTCTGTGAATGTGAGCACCTGAGGATTTACACTCATGCCCACTTTAGGTGGTACTACAAGAGCCAATTCGTAAGTTGAATTAGCCGGGCCAACATTCGTCACCGTTCTTGTGTAATACTGAGTCTGAGTCTCTGAGGACCCGGTTTTGATAGAAAATGTAGGATAATTTAGCTGTGCTTCTGGTACGGCTCCTACTTGAGAGCAGTTCACTGTTTGTTGGGTGATGACCTGTATCTGCTCGTCTGTGTAATTCAAACCACACAAGTAAGGAATGTAATCCTCTGGTTGTATGTCGTAGATGAGCCCTGGGTCATTTGCTTTTGAAGGGTTAACATGGCCTGCACCAAGGGCAAAAATATCTGCTGGAAAAAGTGTTTGGTCAACAATGGCAGAGCCTGCGAGGTTTTCTACTTCAGCGGTTGTCATGATTGCTGACTTAATGGCAGCTGGTGACCAGTCAGGGTGGGAGCTTTTGAGCAAGGCTGCAATGCCACTTAAGTGAGGGCATGACATTGAGGTACCTGAAACCATGTTAAATGTTGCCTTGCCTTCTGTTCCATTGTCCACAGAAACAGGCCATGCAGCTAGGATGCTAACACCGGGACCAATGATGTCAGGCTTCAAAATTCCAGGGCTTCTAATGCTTGGTCCTCTTGATGAGAAGGAAGCAACCTTGGGAGCAAGTGGATCTCCGATTACAGTGCCTTTAAACAAGATTGTGGCTGTAGGTGTTGAGGTTGAGTTTATGAAGGCTTTGATATTCAAACCTGCCTGATAACTCACATGTGTTGCAGGGAGGACATGAGCGTCAGCTAAGACGCTATAGCCATCTATCGCTTGGTTCACAAGAATCATGGCAGCACCACCAGCTCTTTTCACTTCTTCCCCTTTGGCAACTCTTCCTCTTCCTCCTTCGCACACCACTATTTTACCTTCAAGATTTTCAAGGGATCCTGGACTGCACAAAGCTGATGATGGGTTGCCATTTGCGCCAGGATAAACAAGAGGTAACAATGCTGAATTAAAATCTTTAGGCTGGAACAAAGATACGCCGTCAAATTCTCCATGATCTCCAAGCAAGGCTGTTGCTCTTATGCTCCTGTCAATGGTGCTTCCTCCTACTGTGAGAATCCATGGGGCCTCATTGGATAAAGACTCATAGGAAGGACCAGAATTTCCAGCTGAACAACTGACAAAAATTCCTTTTTGAATTGCTCCGAATGCACCTACTGCAATTCCATCTTCATAGAAAGGAAATGAAGGACCACCAAGTGAAAGGGACAGCACGTCCACACCATCTTCAACAGCAGTATCTAGAGCAGCTACAATGTCACCTTCTGTACAACCATCCTCAGAGCAGATTTTGTACATTGCCAAATGAGCATAAGGTGCCATGCCAGCCGCTGTGCCATTGGCCATTCCAAAAGCATTGGCGCCTTTCACAAAATTCCCTGCAGCTGTGCTGGATGTGTGGGTGCCATGGCCTTCATCATCAACTGGAGGGCCTCCTGTAGTTTTTCCGCTTTGGAAATTTCTTGCACCAATAAGCTTGTTATTGCACACTGTTCCATTGAAGTCGCACTTCCCTTTCCATTTAGCTGGAGGAGGCGGTACTCCTTCATCACTAAACGAAGGATGATCCGGTCCGATCCCAGTATCCAAAACTCCAATTATTACACCTTCACCGTAATTTGCTCCTTTCCAGACTCCCAATCCTTGCTGCAACCCCAAGAAGTTAGGACTATGAGTAGTGTGCAAAGGCAGAATCCTCTCTGGATGAGCAGACACAAACCCTTCTTTCTGTTCCATTGCCTTTACTTCCTCTGGCGTCAGTTTTGCTGCAAATCCAGTGGCCACATTGCGGTATGTATGAACCATTCTTGGCTTTGTCAGCTCGTTTGAGTTTGCAATAGTGTCCGGCAAAAATGTTTGATACCAGCTCTCTAAATCTTCATGAGATTTTGCAAAAAACAAGTTCTGGACCGGCCTTTTCACCCAAACAATGTAAGTTTGCATGCTACTTTTGTCCTCATCTGTCTCCGCAGCAACTGCTACTGATAAATAAAACATGACACTGAAGCCAAGAAGATATATAATCTGCAACATCACACACTTTTTGTTCTCCATCTTTTGATCAAGAAGAATTTGGGAGTACAAGTGCTCTGTGTTTGTCTACCACTAATGCAATTATATATAGAAGATAGCAAGAGATCGAGCTGGAAAAAGCCTGCATTTCTTGTACAGATTGAAGGTGAAGGTTGGCTTGGTGTGACTTGGTTAAATTAAAGTGCTCCTTCACATAACAGTCAATATAGAGGACTTGGTAATGCTCGCAAATCCATAGTTACTTACACCAAACTGGCGATAGGCTTTATGTTATAACTTACACTAGATTTATTAGCAATTTGGTGCCAACTTTTGTTTTATTTTATTTTTATCATTCTTGTTAAAATTCATTGTTGTTCTTGGTACGTAGTTTTGGAGCTTGCTGCTGATACAAGTTGAGAATGTCTCCAGCGGGGAAAAACTTGATCAAAATGAATTATCAAATAAGCAGGCCAATATTTTTAACTTACATATTTGAGCTCACTGCAAGGGTCAAACCATTGAGACAGGTCATGTAAGTGGTTAATTTATTTTTATTTTTTATAGTGTGCTGAAGTTATCATCCGCACCAGTTAATAGTGTTCAAATGGTCATATAATTGGGATTAAATAAAGAGTTATTTACACTAACAGGGTTATTAAGAAAACTCATTTTGCTAGAAAAAAAAAAACATGTTGTGAATTATTACATTTAAGTGCCAAGTATACCATTGTTATATGAAGTACATGTTTTTTTTTTGTTCAAGCGAACTACGTGTTAGGTAGTGGTTTTTATCTTTCAATATTATAAGAAGTTTCATGTTCAAATCTCCTCCTTCAGTCAACAAATGTATACCCTTAGGTGATGTTTGGTGGCTTGGTTTGGAGTGGATTGGTCAAGAGCAATATAGGAATTACATATTTATCATAATTTAACCAATTGCTCTCTAATTTAAACACACCTTTCTTATTAATTTGTATTGCACTTGAACTTACATATAGTGTATGTGACCCATAGTGTATGTGAACCTGCTGCGAAGCTGAAGAGAGAGAGAGAGGCCCTGCATTAAGGAAGATGGGGTTCTGAAACCCAAATTCTACACTGAAGACTTACATTTTCCTTCCACCAAGACAAGCAATCATATCAGCCTCTGGGTTTGCTTCTCTTCTGTCCACCGCACACACTGACTGGACCTCAGCTTCAAGGTAGTATCATCTTAAACTTGCAAACTTGACTTGAATTGAAGTGCCTAGAAATCTGTACACAATGCCCAAATTTGCAGTTTCTAGTTTCTACCGTAAAAGCCTATAGTTAATGCCATTCATCAAAAATGAAGAAAACAAAAAGATAATAAAAGCTAATCTCATTAATATATTAGAGCTTCACTCAAAGCTAGCTAAAGCTCTATATGGAAAAATTGATAAGCAACAAACAATCCTTTTTATTTTTTTGCTGTCAATTTCAAATTATTGCTGAAACATCATGTAAGACATGGTTGACCTCACAATCACAATGCTGCACAAGCAGAGGAGACATTGGTTTGGAGGGCTTCCAAGAAAAATATCAAATCTTCTAGGACTTCAATTCAATTACACCACTGGAGTTGCACTTATTTTGGGCTTGAGTTGTTTCTGTTATTCTCTGCAAGCTTGTGACAACTTCTACTGGGATCCTATTTTAATTTCACTTGCTGGCAAAGATAACAGATATTGGGCTAGTAACAGAATGCTGATCAGAAACCCATCGCAAATATCCCTGAGCAAATGGTACACCATCCTTCCCAGCACTGTCTTGTGCGAAAAACTCCGCTTCGAATGTAATCTCCTGGTTAACCTCTGTGAATTTAAGCACCTGAGGGTTCACACTCATGCCCATGTTCTGTGGCACAAAAAGATCCAAGTTGTAAGTTGAATTAGCCGGGCCAACATTCTTGACGGTCCTTGTATAATACTGAGACCGAGAGTCTTCGGATGACCCTACTATAATAGAGAAGGAAGGATAGTTTAGCTGTGCTTCTGGTATGGCTTCTACTTGAGAGCAGTTCACTCTTTGTTGGGTGATGACCTGTATCTGTTCGTCCGTGTAATTCAAACCACACAAGTAAGGAATGTAATCCTCTGGTTTTGTGTCATAGATGAGCCCAGGGTCATTTGCTTTTGAAGGGTTAACATGGCCTGCACCAGTGGCAAAGATGTCTGCTGGCTTAAGTGTTTCGTCTACAATGGGCTTTCCTTCGAGGTTATGTACTTCAGCAGTCGTCATGATTGCAGACTTAATCGCAGCTGGTGACCAGTCTGGGTGGGAACTCTTGAGCAAGGCTGCAATGCCACTTAGGTGGGGGCAGGACATTGAGGTGCCTGAAACCATGTTAAATGTTGCCTTACCTTCTGTGCCATTGTCCACCGAAACAGGCCATGCTGCTAGGATGCTAACACCGGGACCAATGATGTCAGGTTTCAAAATTCCTGTGCTTGCAATGCTTGGTCCTCTTGATGAAAAGGAAGTAATCTTGGGAGCAAGTCCATCTCCAATGACAGTTCCTTTGAACAAGATTGTGGCTGCAGGATTTGAGGTGGAGTTCAGATAGGCTTTGATTTTAACACCTGCAACATAACCCACGTGTGTTGCGGGAAGTACATGAGGGTCAGCTAAGGTGCTATCACCATCAGTCTCTGCATTCACGAGAATCATGGCAGCTCCACCAGCTCTTTTCACTTCTGCCCCTTTGTCAATTCTTGCTACTCCTCCACCTCTCTCACACAACACTATTGCCCCTTCAACGTTTCCAAGTGATCCAGCATCACAGAATGCTGATGATTGTTTTCCATTTGCGCCTGCATAAACAAGAGGTAAAAATTTTGAACTAAAATCTTTTGGCTGGAATAATGATTCACCATCATATTCTGCTCCATTTCCAAGCAATGCTGTCGCTTTTATGCTTCTGTCAATGGTGCTTGCTCCAACTGTGAGAATCCAGGGTGCCTCATTTGCTAAAGAAGCATAGAAAGGACCCGAATTTCCAGCTGAACAACTGACAAAAATTCCCTTTTGTATTGCTCCAAATGCACCAATTGCAATCCCATCAGCATAAAAAGGAACTGAGGCACCTCCGAGCGAGAGGGAGAGCACGTCCACACCATCTTCCACAGCAGTATCAAGAGCAGCTAAGATGTCACCTTCAGCACAACCCGCCTCTGAACAGACCTTGTAAATTGCCAGGTGAGCATAAGGTGCCATGCCAGACGCCGTGCCGTTGGCCATTCCAAACACATTGGCACCTTTCACAAAATTACCTGCAGCTGTGCTGGATGTGTGGGTGCCATGACCTTCATTGTCAACTGGAGGGCCTCCCGTAGTTTGCCCACCTTGGAAATTTCTTGCACCAATAAGCTTATTATTGCAAACTGTTCCATTGAAGTTGCACTTGCCTTTCCATTTAGCTGGAGGAGGGGCTACTCCTTCATCGCTAAATGAAGGATGATCGGGTGATATCCCAGTATCCAGAACTCCAATGATCACACCTTCACCATAGTTTGATCCCTTCCAAACTCCCAATCCTTGGTGCAGCCCCAAGAAGTTAGGACTATGAGTAGTATGCAAAGGCAGAATTTGCTCTGGATGAGCTGACAAAAACCCTTCTTTCTTTTCCATTGCCTTTACTTCCTCGGGCATCAATTTTGCTGCAAACCCAGTGGCCACATTGCGGTATGCATGAACCATTCGTGGCTTCTTCAACTGGTTTGAGCTTGCTATAGTTGTGGGCAAAAATGTGTGATACCAACTCTCTAAATCTTCATGAGATTTTGAGAAAAAGTATTTCTGGACTGGCTTCTTCACCCAAACAATATAAGTTTGCATGTTATTCTGCTCCTCATGTGTCTCAGCTAGCGGTTCCAGCACTGCCTCTTCATTAGCAACTGCCACTGATAAATACAACACAAAACTTAAGCCAAGAAGATATATTATCTGGAAAGCTAAAAACTTTTTGTTCTCCATCTTTTGATGAAGAAGAACCTCAAAGTGCAAGTGCCTTGTGTTAGTCTACCATTTGAGCTTCTATATATAGTGGACAGCAAGAGATGGAGGTGAAATGTGGGGTTTGAAGGAACATTCGCCGGCATTTCTTGTACCGATGATGGTGATTCAAGGTTGTGAAGGTATGCTTGTTGTGACTTGGTTGATTAAGGGGCTGCCAAATGAGGCTGAGCATAAGAGTCTAAACTGCGGCACATTTGGAATTAAAAAACAGGACTTGGTAATGCTCGCTAATCTCTCTCAGTTATACCAAAGCGTCGATAGACCTTATGTCTGGATTTTGGAGGCTGTTCTGTTAGTCTGGTGCCAGCTAGTTTATTGTTCTTATCAATTAATTGAGACAAGAGTGGCTAAAATAACAATTGATGATTTTGATTCTTATTTGGCACTATATAATGTCAAACAAAATGGCTGGCATGGCCTAAATATGAAGACAATAGTTTAACATTTTCTTTTCCTTTAGGGGGATTTGAGAAGTGTGAGAGTCGGACAATTTCCACACATTGTTTTTAGGTGTAACTGTTTTACTGAAGTTAATAAGTCCACACATTGTTTTTTTTTTTTTTTTTTTTTTGGGTAGGGTACGTAATTAACTTTAAGGTAAGGGAAGGGAATGCTTCATCATGACCAAGATCTAGAGAATCGATTGTTTTTTATCATTTTTATCTTAGGGCAATATAATAGCAGTTTACCACACAGTTTTAAAATCCTTTTTTTTTTTGTTTTTTGTTGAATCTCTCAAATTATCGCAATTTTAGGTCAAGTTAAGTTGAATTTCTCAAATTATTGAGACTTTCTGTCAAATTGTCGCCCTTTCTTCATGCAAAGGTTAATTGCAATTTGCAACCTTGGATCTGTTCAGAGGGAATAACAATCAACACGATGAGTCTCATGTCTTGCTAAATAAGTCATCCTTGAAATGTTTAAAGAGTTCACGCTAATAGTTGACAAAATAAACATCTCAAGTTTCACTCAAATCCTTTCTTCTAATTTCCATTGCTTCTCTCAAATTTTCACTGATACCGATTTTGTGTCAATATTTCCATGAAAATCGATTTTTAAAACCGGAGGTGATAAAAGGGATGATTTGAACTTATAGAGCCCTTAACAAAATTGCAGCTAGGGTAGACTCAGCTTTAACAAGGCTCTTAAGGAGCTACCATTCGTCCGAGGAATTCACTGTCCTACTAGACAGTGAGGTGGGCTCAAAGATGGCGAATCTCCTCTATCACTTCAAACGGTACAACCCCGGGCAGAAACTGAACCTCAACTTCATCGCCGATCCTCCTCCTCTACCAGAGGGCATCACCGAGGAGATGATCGAAGAATATGAGAGGGAGATCGCTCCGGATGAGGCCTTTGCGCTGGGGGTCCAACTCTTGCCAACGCCACTGCTAACGCTGCTTGTGAATAGGGTGCCGTTTAATTTTAGTGTTGTATTTTTCTTTTTATTTTGTACCTACCATAAGGCAATTGTTCCGAACACACTGATGCCGATGGCATCTTTTTAACTTATATAGAACTTTTTCCCAATTACTTGTCCAACTACTAAGTGCCCACTCTATCGGTAGATTTAAGGTTTAATCATCTTAACCGTAGCCTGTAAGGCACATAATTGCTGAGGGCAATGCAAAAAATTTTGCCAAGTGAACTTCCAATCGGTAATAAGCTGAGAAACTAATCATTTTATTTGCCGATGGCTAAATAATAGATTAACTGCCGAAGGCTAGCAAAAGACTAACTCCCAAGTGAAACTTCAATCGGTAAGACACTTAGGACTCACTCATTTTAAATGCCGAGGGCTAAATAAAAGATTAAATGTAGGATACCTGGACTTAAGTATTTTTAATTGCCGAAGGTTAATCATATGTATGAATAGAGAATTTTTCTTCAATTTGGCAAACTGCAAGTGCAGATAGGATCGGTAGTTTGAACTTTAGCCTATCTGTAGCCGTAGGCTAAATAAAAGTTAATTTTATAAGCGTAGGGTAATGCGTGACCGATGGTCCCTACCGTACCTTTTAATTAACAAAAAATAAATAAACACACCGAAGGTTGTGAATATACATAAACCGAAAGCTTTTTCATTAACTGCTACCGAAGGCATGAGTACAGGTTCACTATATTACATTTTCGTCCTGCCGTAGGCTAGGTGACTCATTTAAAATACTATTTCAAATGTTCTACGTTCCAAGGATGACCAAGGGTCTTGCCGTTGGAGTCTCTTAGTCGATAAGTTCCCGATCAAAGGATGCCGATGATCTCATAAGGTCCCTCCCAAAAAGGTTCGAGGGTCCCTTCTGTGGGATCCTTGGTTGCCAGAGAGACTTTTCGCATAACCCAGTCCCCGATTTGGAAAGAATGGGTTCTGATCCTCGAGTCAAAATACCGAGAGACGCGCTGTTTGTATGCCTTATTCCGAAGGTTGGCTTGCGCTCGGCGTTCTTCGATCAAGTCGAGGCTTAATATGAGTGCTTCTTCATTTGCCTTTGGAACGAAGCTTTCCGTTTGGTAAGAAGGCTCGCCAATCTCCACGGGGACCACGGCTTCTAAACCGAAGGCGAGAGAGAAGGGAGTTTCTCCAGTTGACGTTCGGTAGGATGTCCGAATGGCCCATAGTGCTTCTGGAAGCTTCTCTGGCCAAGCTCCCTTGGCTTTGTAAAGCTGCCGTTTCAACAGTTTCTTAATGATTTTGTTTATTACTTCGACTTGGTCATTTGACTGGGGTGAGCTGGCGAAGCGAAGAACAGATTGATCTTGAGACGAGTGCAGAACTGCCTAAAGCGTTCCAAGTCAAACTGCCTGCCATTATCAGTGATGATTGCATAGGGGATACCGAATTGGCAGCAAATGTGAGTCTAGATGAAGTCTTCCATCTTAGCTGCTGTTATGGTTGCTAGAGCTTCGGCCTCTACCCATTTGGTGAAGTAGTCTACGGCAACCACAGCATACTTTACTTGACCCTTTCCTTAAGGCATTGGACCTATCAAGTCCAGTCCCCATTGGACGAAAGGTCATGGGCTTATGATCGACGTCAAAGGCTCGGCAGGAATGTGAGGTATGTTGCCGAAGCGTTGGCATTTCTCGCACTTCTTTACTAGTGTGTTTGCGTCCTTGTGCATAGTTGGCCAATAATACCCTTGCTGAAAAGCTTTATGTGTGAGCGATCGGGACCCAGAATGGTCGCCACATACTCCCCCGTGGATTTCCCGAAGGACGTAGTCCCCTTTTCGGTGGTGATGCGCTTCAGATACAGCATAGTATAACCGCGTTTGTAAAGGACGTCGTTCATAACTGTGTATCTTGCCGATCGGCACCACAGCTTCCGTGCCTGCGATTTATCGGTGGGCAGCGTACCGTTCGTTATGAAAGCGTAGATGGGAGACATCCATGTGTTTTCATACCATACGACACATACTTCGAAGGTTACCATGCTCGGTTGGGATAGGATTTCCACCGGCACCTTTCTGCCTACCTTGTCATTGATCGTCGAAGCTAGTTGTGCCAGACCGTCGGCATGACTGTTTTCCATCCTGGGATCTGCTGAATCTCGTAGGCCTGGAATTTTTGTAGGAGTTGGTGTGCTACCGATAGTCTGCCGTTATTTGATTCACAATGAGCTGAGAGTCACTGTGGATGCTGACCTGTTTTGCGCTCATGCTTTTGGCTAGCCGAAGGCCGGCCAAAAGGGCTTCGTACTTTGCCTCGTTGTTGGAGGTTCTGAAGTTGAATCAGAGGGCATATTCGATCTTGGCCCCATCTAGAGTAGTTAACACCAGAACTCCACAACCTTGTTGATTTGCCGAACCGTCGACATGCAGAATCCATATGGGAATGGAAGGTTTGAAGCGTTCGGCGTTCTGCTTGCCTGGTTCCCTGGCATCAGAGTCTGAATTGGCTGGTTCCAGCGCTACCGAAGGTGTAAGCTCGGAGATAAAGTCAGCGACGACCTGTCCTTTCTCCGCGGTTCTTGGTTTGAACTGTATGTTGAACTCTCCTAACTCAATCGGCCAGACGCTTTCGGTTTCTGGAGTACTTGCCGAAGCAGTTGGTTGGTTAGCACTGTAATTTCGTGCGTTTGGAAGTATGGGCGAAGTCTTCGAGCTGAGAATACAAGGGCTAAAGCGAGCTATTCCAAGGGAGGGTACCGAATCTCTGCGTTCTGCAGCGCCTTACTGATGTAGAAGATCGGTAGTTCTGCTTTCTCCAACTTTCGTATCAACACCGAGCTGACGACAGTGCTAGATACCGAGAGATAAATGATATAGTACTTCTCTAGAAAGTGGTTTTGACAATAATGGTGCTCTACCAATATAGTTCTTCAAGTCTTGAAATGCCTGGTCGCATTCGGCAGTCCACGAGATATGCTATTTGCCCCGTTTCAAGGCTTTGAAGAAAGGCACGCACTTATCGGTAGCCTTGGAGATGAAGCGTGTTAAGGCGGCGACACGTCCGGTAAGGCTCTGAATGTCCTTCTGCGTCCTCGGCTTCTCCATGTCGCTTATGGCCTTGATTTTTTTGGGATTCGCCTCGATCCTTCTCTAACTGACCATGAAACCGAGAAACTTACTCGAGGACACGCCGAAGGCGCACTTTGTTGGGTTCAGTCTCATGCGGTAGTCCTTTAGTATACCGAACATGGGGCCAAGTTGTCTGGGTGCTCCCCTGCCATTCTGCTTTTCACCAACATATTGTTGACATATAACTCCATGATGTTGCTGATATGTTTAGCAAAAATTCGGTTGACAAGCCTTTGGTAAGTTGCCCCGTGTTCTTCAGGCTGAACGGCATAACATTGTAACAGTACAATCCACGATCAGTGATGAATGCCGTATGCTGGCTATCGGCAGGGTTCATGAATATCTGGTTGTACCCCGAATAGGCGTCCATGAAGCTCAGCAGCTCGTGACCCACAGTTGCGTCCACGAGCTGGTCGATCCGGGGCAATGGGAAGCTATCCT